AATAAATAAATAAATAAAATAATAATAAAAAAAAGAAGAATGGAAAAAGAAAGAAAAAGAGAATCAAAAAACAAATACAATTCACTCTGGTTTCCGAAATAGGCCATTTGCCGATGCAATGGCGTCATTTTACTACCACTACCAAAATGCTTCGCGAATTTTCTTTCTTATTCAAATTTGTATTTTCTAATGAGAATAGTAAGACAATTGCTGCTAATTAACTGGACAAATAAAACGTACCGGGGTTTCTGGTAGTTATGCTGTTATAGGTAATGACGCCATAATGCACAAAAAAAACCACAAAAACAGCCGTTTCAAATATAGACCCCTCGCACTAAATCCCCAAATGGAGGTCAAAACAACTGAAACTATATTAACATAATAAAATATTTCAATCCTTAAGTGAAGGGAACACTTTCGTCTTAACCGGCCCCTGATTAGGATTAGTGCAAGGGGTCTATAAGTTGTATGGTTTGTACCCTGGCTYGTAAAAAATGTTTGTAAACGTCGTTGATACCAGAGCATTCTAGGGGTGCATGCTACGTCATAGCCGCCATGTTGGTTGACACTAACGAGCCATTCCTCCAGCCATTCCATAGATCAACCAAGATGGCGGCTGTTTCATTATCATTTATTTTCGAGACATAAGTATCCTAAAATGTCAATATGACGTTTATTTACCGTTTTACTTCTATAGATTTCTATTACGATAGTGTACATACATAAAATCTACACACTGCAAATATGGCTGCCATATATTTTTTATCACTAGATTGACAGGTTAGGGAAACCTGCTTTGAGATTTTTGTCAATTTAGGAAGTATATTAAAAATTAAAAAATACATATGAATTTTGTAAAAAATATCTAAATTCTTCCGACTGAGATAAAGCGACAGCCATATTGACATATAGATACAACAAAATAAAACAAGCACTAAACAACACAAAATTAAAGGACACAAAACTCACAAAACGAAACGACACAAAACGAAACACAATTCCAAATTTGGAGTATTTACAAATAAAAAAGTGCAGAATTCAAAAAGAAAAGAAAAAATGAATAACAAAAGTGGAAAGAAGTGAAAATGAAAATTTATTTGATAGTTATATATAAAGAAATATATAAACTCAGATACGAAATCCGCACAATCAATAAAATCGATTGAAAATGCCGCTTAAGCGATTTACAGTAGAGTGACGTTTTTATAACGCTCGACGTTTTTATATGGAAGTCACTTAATAGTGGTACTACTGTCTGGGTTCCCTTTGACGAAACACGACAACATCGTAAAGCACTAAGGAAATACACCTCTTCGTCGATACCGGCGTGGCTTCCGCTGCCAACATCGTTTGTATGGATTTATCTGATGAGAGAATGAAAATACAACCCCTTTGTTTTTCTAGTTAAGGAGCTTAGACGTTTTGGTCACGCAATCCAAACCTATGACCGAGTTCGCAATCTGTCAATGTCTATTCGCCCTAAAATGTGTTTCTAAATAAAAACAACCATATCTAGTAATTCATGAAAGACAGTCAAAACGAAAATGAGTAAATGAAATTGAATTTCAAAATACTACGAGTTGGACAGCGTCAACAGCTTTGTGGATCTTTACATACTATTAGCACACATAAGCCAACCATTACGAGATTCCGATGATTAGAAAAGATAACTTGTCTGCATTCCGAATTGTCAAAGGTTAAAATAGTCATTTTCTGGCTGTGAATTCCCACAGTGCGTGAGCTACAGATAAGAGTTGATGACAGGAGACAAAAACACGACCTAAACCCCGTCCCTTGCTAACTTTCCGCGTGACATTAGGGATGCGACAGGGGGACAGTCACATACTCTTATCCCATCTCTAACTTCCCAACCACTATGGCAATAAATGGAGATTTTAAAAACTTCGTATTTTTCTTTTATCAAAAAATAATAAGTTGCCTCGAAGAATTTCCAGAAAAATTTTCCAAGGAGAAAGTTTCAAGTATTGCTTTGATTCAAAGATGCACAAACAATTTTTGAGATGTCAATCTATGTGCGAAAAAAAGTTATATTTTTCAAATTCTTCATTGCATTGCTGAGATAAAGCATTTGAWGTGCGGCCAAAATGTTTTTGGTCTTTCACAACAGCCCGCAATAACATGTCAGCGGTATGCGTTCGTGACGTTACTTTCATAAATACCAAAAGACGCTACTTGTCTACAGCCGAAACATCCTASATCGAATCTGCTAGATGGTTGACACATTCTGTTGTCTCGTCACTTTCTAGAATCGGTACTGGATGATTTAGATTGACCATCTTTCTACTAATATGTGATCAACACACGAAATAAAGACGTCACGTCTCATACAATTACACATGAATGTATCCAAAAAGAATATCATCATCAATGTTTTTCACAAGACCGTATATTTTTTTATTTGCAAGTATAGCAAAGTAACAGGGACACTTTGGTTACTGTCATGTATGAGGATCAAGAACTGTCATAACTTAGCCTCCCCTTTTTGATCGAGACTATTCCATTTACTGCTCAACATGGGTTTTCTAKATCTGGTCAGATGAGCCTGCGACATACTTATGTTTTATTATTCTTCATTGTAAACGCAGAGATTCAAAGAACGAATACAATTGACAATAAAAATCAGTTGTAACTTTTCTAGGTGTCTTTGTTTCTAAAAACAAGTACATGAATGGCTCGAAGCTAACATTTTACGTTTTAGTTTGGGTCATGAATTCTTGATTTGCAAGGTGCTTGCACATTAAGAAAAAAGGGAAAAGCAATATTCCCAGAGACCGATCGGAATTATATATCTGCATAGCCAATGACTGGCGGCAGTTTTATTATTTCATTTTGGTGGGTAAGGGTTATATATAGATTCTTTCTTAGAGAGAACCACGCCCASTACTGTCCCAAAGAGCTAAACAAGACGCAACAGCAGAATCACTCAGATTAAGAATCAATAAATCTATTATATTAACTAAATCAAATTGACATTTATACTAATGAAGCTGCAATCAATATATCTGAACAGAAATACGTTCAATAACATCATGTCATAAGGTCACCAATATAAACAAAAACAAAAACGAAACGAATTATCCAAATCAATCTGACAATAAGAACATTGAAATTCTGGAGCCCGTAATAAGCTCTTAAAATACAAAAACTGGAGCAACTCGTTTTAAATATCAGCCGAATATTTCCGGCAACCAATACTAATACCTCCAATCATACRAGTGACAAAAACATAAACATTACATAAGTGGGAATAATTCGAGACGGTTGAAATGATCTTCGCTAGAAGTAAAATGTTTTCTCAATTCTTTTATATGATTTCATTCAAATTACCAAATTGTTAACGGATCACATAGTTCACACTATGAGCTACAAAAGATAATAATATGATACAAGAAAGTTTATATTGTTATAGAAACAAGAGAATTGGCGTTATCCAGCAGCCAAAGGTGTAACTTGCTCTACTTGTTGAAGCCATGGTGATTTACTTCCCTGAGAGAAGAAAAAGCAGATTCGACGTCAATAGTAACGAGATATTACGTCATGGATGGCTATTGGACAATGAGAATGAGTCGTCAACAAGTGCGAGTCTTGTACGCATGAGTAAAGCAAATTCAGAAGCTTAGCTTACAGGTGCCGAACTTGCCGAACAGCTTTTTTCATGTAATGATTAAACAGAAAAACTATTTTGTAAAAAATAATTACSAAATGAAATAATATACGGTAAGATCTAACTAATGATTGACTTTTTTAAAAACAGGTGCAAAATGGAAAACAAGAACAGCCAGAGCACGAACATAAGCAAGTTTTGATTTGTAAAAAAAGAATTGAGYGTAATCAAAATGCAGGATATTTCTATTTTTCAGTAGCATCAACGAAATTATTTTTTGACAAGAAAATATGATATGATTTGCTTTGATATCCCAGAATGTTGAATATCTAAGCGAGTGAAGAGTACGTTTTTTGGGAAAGGAAAACTGGAGAGAGCTAGAATCCGGAAACCGACTCAAACTAGGTAAAAAGCACGAAAATTGATTGGGAAAAAACTTCAGAAATACGTTTGAAACGAATA